GTAGAGGTCCCCTTTGCTGGCGTACTCCATCACGATGACGATCTTGCTGCTGTTTTCAAACACTGCACGGAGATGGGAAGGCACGGGGTGTTAGGAGGGATGCTCGGAGCGAAGGGAGCTCTCGTTAGCATGTGCCTTTGAACGAGCAGGTGGAGCCCTGACGGACTCTTCGCACGCTGCTCGCCCCATTGCCTGTGCCCTCAGTCTATTTTGCAAAACAGAAGGTGTTGGGGTGTCTGCAGGTACCTGCAGGTCAGAGGGGGACGGCCAGAGCTGCCACCCACATCCCACAGTGCCACCACCAGCAGCCCCTGCAGCCACACAGCACAGGAGAAAGGGCTCTGCTCTGCCAGAAGGCGACTACGACACGTGGTTCTTTGCTAGATAGAGCCCTGCCAAGGGGGAAGGTGATGGAGCTACCGGCTGGTACAGCCAGGTGGCCCTTCTGCACGTTCCCATTGCTCCCAAGAAAGCTCTGGCTCAAGCCGAGACAGAGCATTTTCTTTCTGTTTGGAGAAAACTACTTCAATATTTTTGAATTCCAGCAGTCAGTGTGACTCAGTCCCTGCAAACACCGCGTATGAACTGTCAATCCACTTGCTTTTGTTTTGAGGACAAAAGGACTCTGGATAGCACACATACGCCAGCGAGGCGACGATAACACGGGCACCGGCCACACGCCAGCACAGCACAACGAACCCAGCAGAGCCAGCCCCAGGGAAGAGCACGGGGCACACTGGGTTTGCAGCAAAAGGACTCAGCGTTTAAGCAAAGACTGATGATGATTCGCTCTGTTCGCTCTGAGTCTGCTCGTAGCTGCAACTGCAGATATTCCCCTTTGGTCGGGGCACGTTCCCCCGGGAGCAAAGCCCAGTCCTTGCCGTAAAGCCCAGCTCAGCAGCACCAGGAGCTCTCCCAGCACCCTGCGGTTTGGTTTTCCTGTGCCCCAGGGGAGGGAATGAGGACATCAGCCCTGAGCTTAGCTCCTGCCTCGGGCTGACAGCAGAGCCACAAGAGATCCCCACTGCCCTGGCGCAACTAGAGCCACACATAGCACAGGGCTTTGCAGGGGACCCTGGCCACCGGTTCCCCCCCTGCTCACGGCACAGCCTCTTGCCAGCAGCAGCAACTTCCAGCCTCAAAAGGCCACGTAAACTTTCGGAGCTGGCTTCCCTCCCCAAGCAGGAGGGGATGGGAAGTGGCTATTTCTGGAGCAGGTACTTCCCCTCGCCGCTGCTCTGCATGCAGGCAGGCAGGCGGGCAGGGGAAACCACAGCCCAGCAGCATCTGCTCTCGCGGCCGGTGCTGAGTCACCAGCACAGCGCAGGCAACAGCAAACAGCTTCTGCTCCGAACGGGCAGGGGGAGGAGAGCGGGGAGCGCCAACCCCACCGCTGCCAAGCGCCAACCCCACCGCTGCCGAGCCTGCCCTGGTACCCAGCCCCGCGGGGGAGGCTCTGCTTGAGGATGCTGCTGGAAAGAGGAGGGGAGAGGAGGGCTCACCTTCGTGGACGGCGATGATGTGGGGGTGGTTGAGGGAGGACATGATCTCAATCTCTCTCCGGATATGGACAAGGTCCTGCTCATCCTTGATTTTGTCTTTCCGGATCGACTTGATAGCCACCTGCGGATGAGCGCACGCACAGAGGGTCACCCGGCTGTCGGGGTCAGGAGCATTGCGGTTTCCCAAAGCCTGTTGCAGAGCAACAAACCCACCCCCCCGCCTCTTTCAGGAAGGGGCTCACAAGCAAGGGATGGATGGCCCAGCCTCTCCACCCAGGCACGCTGCACCCAAGGGCCGTGCTGCACGGCCCCGCTGAAGCAACTCCAATAAACGTGAACTTTATCAATCAGGTTTTTGTACTTTTCAAGTCGTGTTGCTGTGCACAAGGGAGCAGCTCTCCCCAGGCCTCCTCCCGCGGGTGGCACAGCCCTGCTCCTCACTGACGTGCCGTGGCTTACAGGAATTGTGTCCCAGGCTACAGCCGTCGCTGGACGGCAGCCAGCCAAAGGAATGTGACCTGCACACATGACTTGCAAGATAACAACAACAACGGCTTCTTGGGGTCATAAAAATGAAACAAAACAAAAACAGGTTTCATTTTGCTTGTAAATACTTATTTCAAGGAGCTGATTATGTAGAGGTAAGAGAAAGGTTGGTGTTAAAGAGAAGATCCCTCCTAGGCACAGGACTGTGCTCCAGCCAGCCGGGAGACCCATCGCTGACAGTGCGAGCCACTTTCCAGGCTTTCACTTGGGTTTTCAAGTTATCCTCTACAAGGAAATTGAAAGGGGAGGAGAAAGAAGAGTAAGTGCTGGAGAATAGATGCCTTCTAATCCTCTTTCAAAGGGGCTGGGGAGAGACAATGAGCTCCCAGCGCTGAATTTACAACTGAATCCAGCAGAACCTCTTTTTTTTTCTATCAGACAAGAATGCGGAACAGCATTAATCCGGTAAAGGGACCCCCGCACCAGTCTCCCAGCAACGGGGAGAGGGGCCACGGCCACCCGCCGGCCCCAGCTGCCAGCACAGGAGCGATGCTCAGGGCTATGCTGAGCAAGGACCCTCCTCCGCTTTCAGCTGGGCGGGATGGATGCTCGGCCTCGTCTCCTTCTGATTTAGGGGAGATGGAAACCTCACTGCTCGAGACCTAGCCCACCAAGGCTCAGAGCAAGTTTGCAGCCCTTGCTAAGCAAGTCCCCTCGCCTCCACGGCTAAAGCGGTGGGATCTCAGCTGCCACATCAGCCTCCGTGTGGGAGAAGGATGTGCCCTATGGAAGGGCTCAGATGGGCACGTGAGAGATGGCTGATGGAGTCACTTCGGCCCCAGAGCACACCTCTGCTGCACTTGCCATTTCAGGCCAGCGCTGGCCAAGGCAGGGGTTGCCTCCTATGCACTGGAGAAGCATTGGGCCTGCACCAGCCCCAAGGGTTGAAGCAACCAAGCAGAATGGACTCTGGCCAAGGAGAAGTTCAATAACCCCAGCCCAAGTTTCTGTACAAAGCAATACTGAAGGCACTTAATAGCTTCTGGAAAGCCAGGTATTCTTTCCCCTGACCTTTGCGCTAGGTTAACAGGTTAAAGTTTAACAATTTTTTTTGCTCCAGCCCCTGATTACCTGACCCCCGCTAGAATGTGGGCAGCAAAGCCTTTATGCAGCAAGCCAGCCCGCTCCTGCCCTCCCAAATTCCTGTTGACTCATTCTTTTCATCTCCCCCCTAGAGCCCAACATCCAGCCCAACAGCCTCAGCATTTTGGGGCGCATGCAGCACATTTGCTTGCTGATCAAGATGCTCACACACCTACGCTGCCGAGACGGGGCTCAGGGCAAGATCCACCGCCCATAGACAAAGTGGCTCCAGGCTGCCAGCACGGGAAGCCTTAGGGGATGCCACTGGCTGTGTTCAGCCAGGGAGAACGCCCTCGCCTAGGAGCCTGGCAGTTAGTGACCTCCAAGGCAGACAGGAGCCAGGGCTGCAGCAGCCAGCAGGTTTAAGGTGCTGTTAGAGCCCCGGGGCTCTCCCTGCCGAGTGCTGCCTGCAGGCAGGCCAGCTGCCTGTGGAAAGGTGGGGCACAACACCCAGCGAGGGTCCAGCACTGTCAGGGTCCGCATCTCATACAACAGAGACTGAACCAGGGTGGGATGATTTATCCACCTGCCAAGCCCTGCCAGGGAGGCTAATCCCTTGGGTATCCTATCCTTCCCCAGGGGTGCTGGGAAGCAGCTTTGTTCCAAAACATCCCCTGCCTAAGAGGGCTTATGGCAGAGGATCCCCCCTTGAGACAGAACAGGCCATGCCCGGCCACCCTGGAGATGGGGACCAGCAGCTTCAGGGACAGACACCGCCACAGCCTACCCGCTGCCTCCACCACCAGCGCTATGAGAAGAATCTCCTGCAGGAAACAGCCCCAAGAAGTCCCGCTGCAGGAGCCTAGAGAACCCGAGAGTACTTTCCAAGTCAAAAAGGCTTTTTAATTAAAAGGTTTTTTTGGGGGCAGAACAGGTATTTTCAGCAGCTGCTAAAAGATGCATTAAGCTACAACCCCAGGCAGCACTTTAGAAGTTGTTCCAGATTGCAAGTGCAGCATTTCACGCTCCATGAAATATGGATTACAACCCACTACGGAAGAGACCGGGGTTCGCCCCTTACTGGAGATCAAAAGAAGCTTTGCTGCTGTGGAATATTCCAGGTGCTGCCTTCCCCTTGACACCACGCAAGCCCACAAACACGTTTCCGACACTGCGAGCGAGTCCCACGGGAGATCCCACTTTCTATTTGACTTGGCTGCAGGCCAGGGCTTGGGAATCAGGCTGGGAGAAAGCAAGGGCAGACGCTGCCATGCAAACAGGTGCGGGAGCCAGTTTGCACCACCACAGCACACGTTACTCAATCTTCAACCCAAAAGACAGAGGCGAGGGGAAAAAAGAAAAAGAGAAAGAGAAAAAGGAAAGGGAAAAGAACAAACAGCTCTCTCCCCCACTGCTTGGTATTTCAGGGACACAACGATTTTCCAAGGACTGGGAAGGGCGCTCAGCAGACGTACCCACCAAGAGGCACGAGCATCATTTCACCTGAAGGATTTCTAACCAGAAAACAAGGGGGTTTTTTTCAGACAAAGAACATTTATGGAAGTCCCCCAAAATCCTGTGGGAGCCTGGTCTTCCCTGCAGTCTACCAACTGCTTAGAAACACCTTGCTCTGAGCTACGTCCAGGTAGGCTGGTTAAAATTCAGAGGAAAAAAAGAAAGTAGGCAGTAAAATGAGAGGGTTCAATATTCAGTGCATCTGACAGAGGCAGTTTCTGATTAGCCTGAGGCAAAAGCCACGCAGGGAGCAGCTCCAGCTGGTAACGTGGGGTCCGCACAGCCCAGGAGGGGTAACCGGGCGGAGGCAGCAGTACCTGCTCTCACACCTCGGTGTTTAGGAAGTGAAAGCCACTTAGAGAAGGAGCAAATAACAACCCAGCTCAGGATAAGCCTAAAGATTAAACAGGTCCGGAAACGCTGAGTGCTACAAGAAAGAATTTGTGGGAAGAGGAGAGCTTTGTGGTTAAGCCTCCTGTTCCTACATGGCCAGCTCGCTGAGATACTAGTTAGTCAGTGTACTAGTTAGTCGAGCCTTTGACTATCTCCAGCATTTATAGAAGAGTCGTTGGCCTGTGTAATCTGCGTTACAGAACGCTGCTAGAGAAATGAGTCCCTGTCCAAGGGGCTTCCACAGCCAGACAAGTTTTCTGGCAGTTCAGAGATTCCCTGCACAAGCTGTGTTAGGTGCAGAGAAAGCCAAGCCTTCTCGCCCATCCCGAGGGGAGGGATCCTTCTAGGTCTGTGGGTGGAAGCTGCATTTCAAGGCCCTGATTATGCAGCAAAACAGCAGCTTCTTCAGAATCAGATAGGCTAATGGAAATGGCAGATCTGACTTAATTAAGAGCCGTCATGTTACACAAGAAAACCTCTCAGATTTACAGTTGTTTTTCCTTGACATGCCTCTGTGGCACGTTAGTGATCCAATCTCACACCCTGCTCTTCCGCTCAGCCTCGCTGGGCCAGTCTCGCCGCTCACGGGTGGACCCTCGTTGCTCACCCATGGTCTCAAGGTGGGTTGGTGTGCCAGTGCCTTCCCTGGGTCCCATCCCACCCTGCAGGGTTCTCAGGACCAAACTGGGGCCGGGAAATCCCACCCAAGTCTCCCCCCTTGCAGATTCTTAAATGACAGGGCTGGCAGGACAGCAGCACCCCGCTTCCCTGGGGGGTCCCCCAGCTCTCCCTGCCCACCTCCCTCCAGCACGCTGCATTGCTGCGCTTTGGGTTGAGCCGTGCCTTGCACAGAGCCACTTGCTTCGAGGGGGCCGAGGCATTGACTGAGTCACGATTTCAACCAGACACTCAGGGCTCGGCTTTGCTCGTGTGCTGCACAGAACTGCCCGAGAGCCAAAAAGAGGCCAAAAACCAACCAAGAA